AGATTTGTTAGCAACTGTCACGGATACCATTTTGGGTCTTCAGGAAGCGATAAAACGGCAAGCATCTTCTGCTGGCCACATTGTAATCTTCCCTTGGAAATGTTGCCAGGGGTAACATCTCTCTGTGTGTATTGAAGTATCTCTTTGTGGTACACTGAAAGTATCTAGCAAAGCATGGCTTACACGACATGGTACTTGTAAACTGTCTTTTCATTTCATTTTTTTTTTTTTTTCAGCTGCTTTAGTTTGCATCTGTCTGTCCCTCTGTCGTTTCCTTCACTATTTTGCTTTTTTGGTAATTGAAAATAAATGTGAGTGAAGATCGAACTCCGTGCTTAAATACACTCAGCGGGAAAAAAATGAAAAAGGGAAGAGAGGGTGAGGAAAAGGGAAAGCAGGCTTTGCAACTCTTTGCAACATTCCATACTTTGAGTCAAAGTGAGTTTCCTCGTGAAATTTTTTGCTGTCTCACTCCGTAAATTTTGAGCTGCTAAGAACTTTACGACTTTTTCAAAGTTTCGAAGGATTGCATAATTTCAGGATCAAACAAGATTTGAGGTTATTCAAGCGAAGTGTTTCGAATACATTGCTTGGGCTGTCACAGTCCAATTCTAACGAGAATGATGATGGTGATGATGCGGATGCACTTACTAGAAACAAACGGCAGAAGTTGCCTAATGGTCTAATTTTTGGCGGTAATAAAAAGCGGAAATTGACTGGTTTGTTCCGTAAAATAACGAAATCATAATGATGTCAGTTCGAGAATCTTTGTGTTTTGTTCGTTGTTACCAGTTTAGCCACTCTGAGATCTGCTAAGGTCCTTACACTTCGCTGTTGTTCCGCCCATCAAATATTGGACTGAATAAGTCCACTAGAATATTATGATTTGGATGAATTTTTAATAATTTTTGTTAAACGTAGGAAAATTAATTATAGGCCATTCAGCACACTGAACTTAGAAATTAAGGAATGGTGAAGGAGAATCTGTACGGCGTTTTTTTTTTTTTAAATCTTCCTCTGTCTCAGTTTTTTTTTTGTTGCCTCAGTGGTATTTCGTCTAGACAAGCCTTATAAGCCAGTTTCTGGTGAATTTTTCTTAGGTCACATTAAAGTTGAATCTTCAAGAATACAGACATCCAGCAAACGGAATAAATTTTCATTTTAAAATAATGACAGTCACAAAATTCCGCACTGCTTATCGCATCTCAGATATACTGTGAAAAATCAGAGTCGGTTAGGCAATCGATTTAGAGACCCCTTGCTAGCAGTGGTAGTTTGAAAAAGCCTCAAACATATTGAAATTAAAAAACGAAGGTAGCCCGGAAAAACCGACGAAATTAACTAATTCATATTCTAAAGGGCGCATATTACCGTCTGATTTAATTCACCTTTTGCACAGTACAAGTACTGCATTCTTTGGTAATACAACGTAGATTTTTCCTCTCAATTCTGATTTTCGAAAAAATTTCTGGAAAATACAGTTTTATCTTTCCTCTAAGTGTGCCAAGTTATTCGTTCTTGTTTGGCTGCCTGATAGCAGTGACTCAAGAAAGTTCCTCGTTGTTCTAGGAACTTGTGAATTAGTTGTTTTTTGTTAGGTTGTTGTAGAACTTTAGAGTTCTCCT